AGACGGTCTGGCGTGCCCCGGCCATCGCTGAAGCACTCAAACTGGTGGGGGCTGAGACCGTGCCCCACGGCGAGGGAACGCTGGCCCGACGATAGCACATAACGGAAAAGGCAAGCGGGGGCATTGAATGTGAGGTGGCGGTGGTGGATACCTTTCTGCGCGGCGGCGTAGCGTCCGTCAACCTACGCGGCGGCGTGTCGAAGGCCCTTCTGGCACAGTCTTCTTCGTGGCCTTGCAGCTGCTGCCATGGTGGGCAAGTGGGTGGGTGGGGGTTTGTGTGATGAGTTTTTTTTGCTTCTGGATTTGGGGATTCAATGTTGAGGATGATGCTTGCAGGAAACATTATGGCTGGTCTCGTCGCGGGGAGGCGAAGTCCAGAGACGTGCCTCAGAGGCCCCTGGCCCGTTTTCGGGGGTGTCTCCGCGCTGTCGACTCGGGCCGCGTCTCCGTCAGGAGGGATGGTTCGGGTGGGTGAAATGGAGCTCCCTCGGGAGTCACCTGCTGCCCTTCGGGGCCTTTGAAAAGGAGGACGAGGAGGCGGAGGAGGAAGAGTGCAAACCCAAGACGCATCAATAGCATCGACGATGTTGCAGTAAAACCTTCCTCCAAGTTCCATCTTCATAGGCCCCTACAAGAATTTATTTTCATTGTGGGAACTGCCCTGGTGGAAGACACCCGTCGGATCATCCTCAATGGCCAATTCCTGGCACTTCAACGCCACGCATCAACGTGACTGTTGTGTCCTGACAGTCCGGCATTATGCCAGAACGCAATTCCTGGGAAATCAACACAGGTAATCAATGTGACCGATGCTTTTTGACAATCCTGAACTGCGCCAGAACGACAGTACCGGGACTTCAACCAGGCCAATCCTTGAAGCGGTTGTCGGCCTTCCGAACGACTGTGCGCGGCGCTACGGCGATAACCACATTTTTAACCCTACATCATTGAAGCTGCTGCAACCATTAAAAACGCATGTGCGAGGCGCTAAAAAGAGAAACACATATTGAAACCGGCCTGCCCTCAACCCGTGAAGCTTCTGCATCTGTCTAAGACGAGCGCGCGGCGACTAGTCGAAAACAAAATGTTGAAAGCCACCCGCCCTCCATCCGTGAGGCTGTTGCAAACTAGACAAACGTATCTGCGCGGCACGCGAGAACCACATTTTGAAAACCGCTCTCCATTCGTGAAGCTGTTGCGAATGTCAAGCTTCAGGATCAGAAATGGTGGGTGAAGTCTCACGCCGAACGCACGGCCCACCCTACCAACACTTCTGGGGGTGCGACAAGGAGAAATTATTGATGAGGAGCGGGGATGAAGAAGGAGGACAGAACAGGAGGCGCAGGAAGAACGGATGTTGAGGACGCGGAAGAGGAGGAAGGAGGATGAGGGATGAGGAGGAAGGGGAGGATCAGTAGGATGAGGATGTTCATGATAATGGTGGTGATGGTGATGATGAGGAGGACGAGGAGGAAGAGGAGAAGGACCAAGCGTTACATAGGAGGAAGAGGAGGACGCGGAAGAGGAGGAAGGAGGAGGAGGAGGAGGAACAGTAGGGAAAAGCAGGGGAAAGGGGCCCCCTATCGCCAAGAATGCCCGAGACGCAGCAAGATCTCACTGTGCAGCCCTTCCATTCCTCCTTCTCCGCCTCCGCCTCCCTGTCCCTTCTTCTCTCTTCCCACAATAGAAAGAAGGGGGGGAGGGAACGGGAGGAGCAGGCGGAATCGGATGAGGGGGGAAGGGCAATTGATGATGGTACTGACGACGTTGTTGTTGTTGTTATCGGCGATAATAATACGACTACGATGTGTGTATGTATGCCCAAATGGTCGTGCTCGGTGCCGTGCGGAATCCCAGCAATGTTGTGTTGTGCCGTGCTAAAGGTGCGGTGTGAATATGTGGGGAGGTCAATACCTGCCCAGTTTAACCTCTAAAACGGGGGTAGAAGATTGCCGTGCGTGCGAGGATGAAAACGGGAGCTGAGGTGGGCCTCAACCAATTTGGCTCAAGCCCGGTTTCAGGGAAGAAAGGAATCCTCACCAGTGGCCTGATTCGCCCATGGTAGCGGAGCCCGTGGTCTAATCCACGGGGTCCTGGCGCGCCGCGATTGCTGAGCCAAGTTCAGTTTCGAGATCTCCACGAACATCGATTTCCAGATTCCCTTGACGTTGGAGTCGGAGGAGTTCAATTCCGAGTGCGAACTTATGTGTAGCTTCACGAATTAACGGGTGATCAAGGCGGGCCGATGCCACTAGTTGGTACCAAATTGTTGGGAAAGCCCGGGGCTTATTCAGGTAATCGCACGGGCTGGCTTCAGCGGAAGTATGGTTTCAAGGCCTACATCGGCGCGTTGGATGGCGAGCTTTCAGAGTCTGGAGCAGACAGAGCGTCAAGTCAATCCGATTTCAGTGCAGGAGCTCAATGAAGTTCGCCGTGGCCATTGCAGGATCTTGGCTTTCCTGTCATCGCGGGCTCTCATGGGCAATCCGCTTTAGCTGGTGATAAATGTTTCAGGTGATCACGGTTTGGAAGCACAGCGTTTGCTGAGCCGCTCAAGTCACGCAGTCTTGGGGAGTAGGTTCCAGACGTGCGAGAAGCTGCATGACGAAAGGCTTTCGGATACGCTCAAGCAGGCAGTTTTGAAGCAGAGCGCGCCAGCAAGTATCGAGGCTCAGATGGGCCCGCAGACGTCCGTTTCAGCGGAATCGCTCAAGGACGCCATGTCGAACTACACGCAGTTGCAGATGAGCGCGTCGGTAGCGAGCTCAGGACCAGCGCCCATGGACATCGGCAACATTCACAAAGGCAAAGACACCAAAGGAAAGGGGGCGAGCAAAGGTAAGGACAACAAGAGCAAGGGCAACAACGACACAAAAAGGAAGACCGCGAAAGGAGAGGAACGCGGCAAGGGCAAAGCTCAAAGCGGAAACGGATATCGATATGTAGCTTGTCACCGCTGTGGGCAGCGAGGACACTGCGCACGTAACTGTAGGCAAGCCCCAGGCACTACCCACGACGAAGTCGCAGGAGGACAACGAGGTGCAGTGCAAGGCAATTCCCAGGCGCCAGCACAGTCTCAATCAGGTGGGATTGTAGTTGCCCTTGGGATAGCCGACGCTGGATGGATTTTCATGATCAGTCAGACAACTATCATGGCCATCGGGGGCTTTGATGAGGACCCGTTGTCTGACAGCGGGGCGCGCGCGCGTGGCGCCCAAGGAGTGCACCAAGCATGTGGAGATGACCGGCATGATCAAGGAGCCAAAGGTGTTCTCAGCTACTGGTAAGAGGATGAGAGTGCGTGGACAACGATTGGTCCAGTTCAGAGTCACAACCGTGTGCGGGGAGCTGCTAAAGGTGGTGGCTCCGTTTGCGATCGCGGATGTTCGGAGGCCATTGATATCGGTTGGCGAACTCGCGGAACTATGATAGATGTTTCAGTTTTGAACTCGCGGGTATATGTCCGAAGATGGGTTGACTGTTCAGCTACCCGGAGTGGGGCGCGCGGTGATACTACCTAACAGTGTTGGACAGGTCCGAGGCGATCAAGGATCTGAGGCCAGTCGAGACGATTGCCAGCAACATTGCTTCGATGCCAAATCCGTCGGGAAGTCCCACGGGAGGCATCATCGAGAGCGGGGGGAAGTTGGAAACGGCGGGGGCAGTCGGGATGTGAGCCCCAGTTCTTCCGAGCGTCGAGGGTGAGGGAGGCATAACCTTGCCCATGTTCCGCATGCGCCGTGGTGTGACGATTGTCTTTTTGGTCGAGGTCAACAGGGAGCACGCCAACGACGTCAAAGACAGTTTGCATGGACTACTGCTCTTTGGCCTTGGAGGATAGCGACGCGGAGACAGCTGCAACCTTGCACGGGTGCGGCTCAGGTGCCAGCGAAGGACCCTACTCCATATGCAGGAACGTTTCTTAACAACTACTTGGATGAGTTGGGGCACCCGGGAATTGCCATTCAGAGCGACGGCGAGGCATCGATTATTGCTCTCGGGAACGCTCTTGTCATGGGGCGCAACAGGCAGGCCAGGGACATTCTTGCTCATATTTCATTGCGGCAATCGGCGCCAGGTTCACATGCCAGCAACGGTTTAGCGGAGGCACCAGTCAAGGTTATCGAAGGCCCGGTGAGGGCAACGGCACATGCAGTTCAAAAGAAGTATTCGTTGTAGTCAAGAGCGGCTCTGCCATTCTAAGCTGGATCGTGAGACAGGTTGCTTTCGTTCAGAACATGTTTCAGTACAAGCGCAATGGCAGGGCAACCCACGAAGATTTGAAGATGGCGAAATACAAGTCCCCGCTTCTCCCGTTTGGCGAGAACGTCGTAGCGCAGAAGTCAGGAGTTCCGGACAACCGACTTGCATCAGCTTGGCAGATGGGAATGTGGCCTGGGCGTTCGACAGACGCCGACGAGCATATCGCGGGCGCGGCGCTTGGCATTGTGAAGGCTATTACAGTTAGGAAGAGGCCAGAGGAGTTGCAGTGGGACAAGGAGGCGTTCGACAAGATGGCGTTTCTTATGTGGTCGCAAGCAGACTTGAAAGAGGTTCGAGGAGTACCAGGCTGGACGCCTACAGAGGGGTGTCAGGCATGCGACGACGACCATGCACCAGTTCGACGAGATGGACGACCTAAGGCGCAGACTACGGCGCGTTTGCAGCGACAGGCTGAGATCAAGCGACAACAGCTCGGAGGACCCGCGGTGGCGCTGCCGGCGCCAGGAGGAGCAGCGGCAGCAAAGGTTGCAGCAGCTCCGAAGGCAAGGCCGGCACAAGCTTCGAGCCCAAAGAGGTAAGCAGCTGACCGAGGAGATAGCGGAGGAGGAAAGCGCCCTAGACCACAGTCGCCAAGATCAAAGGCATCAGAAGAGGAGGCACAGGACGCGATGCGACCATCAGCGACAACAGCGGGTTCATCAGCAGCAGCAACGGCACCAGCTCCAAGCGTCAAGATGTACGGCAAACATTCACCCGGCAATATCGGTAAGCGAGAGGCAGAATTCGGAACTCGGGTGGCTGGAAGCGCTATGCAGGCCAGGACTGAGGACGTGGAGATCTCTATTCAGGCAGTGGAGGAACTGAGGCCGAACGAGGAGGAAAACGATCAGCAGAGGAACGCGCGCATGATCCTGAAACGCGAGTTCACCCAGGAGGAGATCATCATAGCGAGGTTCGCCGACTTGAATGGGCTCGATGAGTTCACGGCCAAGGGGGACGCGCACAGGCAGCAGTGGATGCTTCTTTACTTTCTGTCGTTTGGGTTGGCGAAGCCAGATCGGAAGGGGCGAAGTCGAGGATCTGCGCTAGGCCGTTCAACACGCCTAAGAAGCCGAAGGAACTACTTTACACCCCTACGCCATGAGCGGGCGCTCCACGAGTTCTGCTAGCATTGGCGGCTATCAAGAAGTGGAAGGTGAAGTTCTTTGATATATCGAAGGCTTTTCTACATGCGCCAATTCGGGAGAAGGTCTTCCTCGAGCCTCCAGCTGAGCACAGGAGGTATTGCAGCGAGAACTTTGGCGCGGACCCAGGCGACGTAGTTTGGAGGTTGAATTGCGCGATCTACAGACTTAACGAGACGACGGTGGATTTCGATGCGCACTACAGCCAGACCAACTTCGAGAAGCTCAATATGAGGAGGTTGGCTTCAGAGCCGAGGGTCTATGTCAGCAAGGATGCGATGACAATTGTGGCGAGGCACGTGGATGACGGCATGGTTATTGGGGAAGGCAATGGACCCGATGAGTTCTAGATGCGTCGAATGAGCATTTCTTGTTGGAGATCTCTCCAGACATGTCGAAAGGCAGTTCCCAGGCACACTTGGGATATACCATCAGAATGCTCACGAACGAGATGGGGTTGTCTGTTCGAGTGGCACCCAAGACGATCGACAGCTTGCCCGAACACATGGGAGCTCACGATGCGAAGGCCCTGGCGACTCCAGGTCTCAAGTCCGAGGCGAAGCAGGAAGATGTGGAGCCACTCAGCGAGGGCGAAGCCAAGAAGTTCAGGACGGGCACCGGCAAACTTCTGTTTGTGGCCGCGGAGAGGTGCGACTTGCAGTTCGCGACGAAGGAGATCAGCAGAGGCATGAAACAACCCACGGTCGGAGGTGCGATACGTTTGAAGAGAGTCGCTCGCTATCTCAGCGGCACCAGGGACTTTGTCAATCTCATCGCGCCCGAGGTCATGGACAACATCGTCGTCGAGGTGAAGGTCGATAGCGACTGGGCTGGCGACAGGATTGGACGGAACAGCACTTCCAGCGGACGCATCTACCTAAATGAGACGGTGGTTTCAGCCTACAGCAGGACGCAGGCGAGTCCAGCGACGTCTTCAGCAGAGGCGGAGATCTATAGCATGGGATCAGGACCGTGCGAAGGCTGCTTGTGAAGTCGTTCGTGGAGGAGCTCTTTCCAAACAATCAGGTCAGTTTGCAGTTGGAGTCAGACAGCTCGGCAACTATTCCATATCAGAGCAGGCTGGGCTTGGGTAAGCTCAAGCATGTCAACTTGCGTCACATGTTTGTTCAGGGTTTGATTCGAGAAAGGCGCTTGGTGATTTATAGGATACCGACCGCGCTCAACAGCAGTGACTTGGGAATCAAGTATCTTGAGAAGACGGATTTTGAAAAGCATCGATGGGTTGTGGGCTTGCGCAATCTTGATGGCGGAGATGTTCTTGAGGTTTCGGATAGGGTTCAGAATGCGAAAGTGGTTTCGCTCAAGGGTGAAGGCGAGGTTCGACAGGGTCCTGTTCTCTGTTTAGGCGATTTGCTTACCATGGTCAAGGGCACGGATGCGGCTGGTGAGGTTTCAACGATTGAGACGGTGGACGAATATTGGAGCGTTTCTGTTTCGACACAGATAACGATGATGCTCGTTCTCATGATGGGTGGTTTGATCTTCTACGCGGGTATACGTGTCGGAAACCATATCGGGAAGGCGGGTGCCATCTCGAGTCTAAATAAGGATGATCTACCTGTTTCTGGGAAGGTATGCGCTGTGACAGCCCAGACCCCGAAAACATCTGTTTCGCCAGGGGATTGCCCTAACTGTACGAAGGTATGTGCTGATGATTTTACGATCGATGCTGTTAGACTGCGTCTGTGCAGGCCCGGCAGCAATCCGAGCGGATGCAAGTCAGAGTTAATGGAGCGCCTGAAGGCGTTGGAGTGTTGGTGGCGCTAAGAAGAATGTCGCGATGCGTATGAGACTTGATTTGGCGCGCATTCTGCGCACGTTTCTGTTGCAAGGCGAGCTGGAACGACCGAAGTGATATGAAAGCGGAGTCGGACGACGGTTCGACGCGTCTCCGAGGGGTGTGCGTTTATGTATGCCCTAATGGTCGTGCTCGGTGACGTGCGGAATCCCAGGAATGTTGTGTTGTGAATATGTGGGGAGGTTAAAGGTACCTGCCCCGTTAAACCCCTAAGGTGGGGGTAGAGGATTGCCGTGCGTGCGAGGATGAAGACGGGAGCTGAAGTGGGTCTCAACCGCTTTGGCGCAAACCCGATTTCAGGGAAGAAAGGGATCCTCACCAGGTGCCTGATTCGCCCATACAGATAATATGAGTAATATTGACAATGCTGATGATGATGATGATGACGTTGATGCTGATGTTGATGCTGATGCTGACGCTGATGCTTATGATGGGGATGAGAATGCGGTTGATGTTGATGATGCTGATGCTGCTGGAAACAATGATGGTGGTGAGGATGATGCTGATGATGATGATGCTGATGATGAGGAAAAGGAGGAGGCGGACGAGGAGGGGGAGGGGGGGAGATGATGATGAGGGGACAATGGTGGTGGTGATGATGATGATGGTGATGACGATGCTGATGGTAATGACGCGATTGATGATGAGAAGAATGCTGCAGATGATGCTGCTGGAGATGTTGGTGGTGAGGGTGATGCTTATCGTAATGAGGGGGGAATGGAATAGGGGGATGGTGATGATGAGGGGGATGTTGATGATGGTGAGTATGATGCTGATGCTGATGGTGGTGATGATGATGGTGCTGATGACGATGACGATGGCGGTGATTTTGATAATGATGATATTGATGGTGATGCTGATGATGATGCCGATGGTAATGCTGATGATGACGATGATTCTTAGTATGATCATGACGATGATGGTGGTGGTGATGATGCCGATGAAAAAAAAGAAGGAGGAAGCAGAACGCCATATGAGAGAGCAGAACGATGAGGCGAAGGGTGAAGATAAATATATAGCCGGAGTGCAGTATCCCCAAACAGGGTTTTTAGACCCACTGCGGTTTCCAAGGTCGATTGCGTGCCCGTCCAGTGCGGACTGGCATGGCATGTAAGAACATGATTCCATGATGTTTGCACATGAGATGTTTGCACGAAAACTTGTGTGACGCATCCCTATCAGGAAGCTAACGCTAGAGGGTGTCGTACTCTCTCGCACCTGGTCGACGAATAAGCTGTCGGGTCGGCACTGTAAGAGGCTCCACCGCCATGCTGTGAACTCGGAAGCAACTGTACGAGGAAACGGGGGAGGGCAAGGAAGCGGGGGGGCACGTCGTCATGGTTCCCCCGGGGATGATATCGAGAGGCACGCGGCGCTCGTCTCAAAGGAAAAATCGTGACGTCGGATGTCTGGGGAGGGCGGAAGGCAGTGCGCGCATGACAGATGCTGAGGCGGCAGAAACGACGACGGCGGGGACGGGGAGGCGGAGGCAGAGGCGCAGCAGTGGGAGGCGGGAGGCGGGAGGAGGGAGGAGGGAAGAGGAGCCAGGCGGGAAGTGGGAAGAAGGAGGCGGGAGAAGGAATGAGAGAGGTTGTGATTGGAGCCCCTGTGCTACGAAACGTCTCAGGCAGAACGGGCCAGACCATCTCGCGCGCAACATCTTCGAGCCTCGCATTGCGAGGATGGCTCAATCGAAACGGGCCGGACCACCTCGCGAGCGACATATTGGAGCTCAGTATTGGAAGGATGTCTCAAGCGAAACGGGCTGGACAACCTCTCGCACACGTTCTGACAAGTCCACGTCACACTCGCTTCCCGTTAGGTCTTCTCCTGCAACTCCCTTCCTTCTCCCTCCTCCTCCTCCTCCTCCTCCTCTTCCTCCTCCCCCTCCTCCTGCCTGCTCCCTCATCCACATCATCCGCCTCCTCCTTCTCTCTTCCATCTCCTTCTCCTTCTCCTCCTCCTCCTCCTCCTCTTCCTCCTCCTCCTCCTCCACCTCTTGATCCCGAACGGCACCTCGGAGCCTAGGGTTGCGAGGATCTCTCCAGCGTAACGGGCTGGACCACCTCGCGCGCGGCATCTCGGACCCCAGAGTTGCGACGATGTCTCGGGTGAAACGTGCTGCGAGGAAGTCTCAGGCGAAACGGGCTGGACCACCTCGAACGCGGCGTCTCAGAGCTCCGAGTTGCGGGGGCCTCCTGGTGCCTCCTGGGGCTTCCTCCTGGGACTCCTGTGGCCTCCTGAACTCCACCTGGGCCTTCCTGAAGCCTCTTGGGGCTCCCAGGGGGGATATCGAACCTGTGGCCGTTTGGGCCCCTCAAAATGGAGGGGGGGCACAAGAGCAGGAAGAATCAACGAATCGACACCGGATTTGTATTAACTTGACACGTTCTGATAGGGGGCCTCCTGGGGCCTCCTGGGAGCCTCCTGGGAATCTCCTGGGGACCCCTGTGGCCTGTCCTGGGCGTCCTGCGGCCTCCTGGAGCTCTCTGGGGCTCCCAGGGAGGATATGTAACGTGTAGTCTTCTGGGCCCCCAGGCTGGACCACCTCTTGCGCGGCATCTGGGAGCTCAGAATTGCGAGAATGTCTTGTGCGAAGCAAGCCAGACCACCTTGCGCACGGCATCTCAGAGCTCAGAATTGCAAGGATGTCTCAGGCGAGACTGGTCCGGCCACCTCGCGCAGGGCATCTCAGAGCTTAGAAATTCGAGGATGTCTCAGGCGAAACGGGCCGGACCACCTCTCGCGCGGCATCTCCGAGGTCAGAGTTTCGAGGCTGTCTCAGGCGAAACGGGCCGGACCACCTCGCGCAAGGCATCTCAGAGCTTAGAGTTTCGCGGATGTCTCAGGCGAAACGGCCCGGACCACCTCTCGCACGGCACCTCGGGGCTCAGAGTTCCGAGGATGTCTCAAGCGAAACGGAGCGCAACTTTTCGAGGATGTCTCAGGCGAAACGGCCAATCCCGGCCAACTCAGAAACGAGAGCTGTGAGGATGTCTCAAGCGAAACGGCCCCGACCATCAGATTTTTTTGAGGATGTCTCTGCTCCCCTTTCCCTCGGCCGGAGTTAGCTTCTATCACAACAGCACCCCGTTCAGCAAGCTGTTTGGGGAATCAAGAAAATGAGGCGGACGCGGAGGAATCGGATTCGGATGGGATCGTCCAGAGGTATCAGGAGGTCCGTGCAAGCCTCCAGAGGGCCCCCGAGGCATCTGGATGTCTCCAACGGCCCAAACATGACCAACAACGTCCAAAACTCAAGGAAGGGTCCTCGAGCCTTTTCAACTTCCGTGGCCGTGGGGTGACGGCCAGAAGGCCGCTAGTCTCCTGGCCGTACAGCAAGTCGGACCTGCTCGAATCCTCAGACGGCGATCCGGAAGCGGAGCAGGAGGACGACCCCCAGAGGAGGCGGAGGAAGGGAACGAGGACTTGGACGAAGGCAGAAGGCACCGCCCCTTTCCAGTCGGTCCTGGCTCACTCGCCCAATCCGTCATCGATGAAGAAAGAGTGAAGCCCAGTCAGGGGGCGGAGGCAAAGGCGGAGGGACATTGGCCAGCAAGGGAAGGACGGACAAGGGATGACGACGAAGGCAGAGAAAACCAGCCATGAGTGGAGAGCGGAGGGAGGAGGCAGAGGAGGATGCGGGGGAAGAAGGGCGAGTGGGGGGAGGGAGGAAAGCGGAGGTGGGGGAAGAGGAGAAGGCGGAGGGTGGAAGTGGGGGTTCTCCCCCGTCGGCGCCCCCCTGGCGCGCCTCGCCCTCCGCCTCGCGGGCCCTGTGGAATGCCTTGCACGCGCTCGCTCGCGCGCCCTCGGCGTCCAGCCGCAGCCTGGCGGGCGTCGGGGAGGGCCCGTTCCCTCCATTGTTTCCTCCTCCAGGGGGAGGAAGATGATGGAGGAAGAAAGGTGATGAGGGCAGCGGAAGAGGAGGAGCAACAGCGAAGGACGGAGGACGGGGATGGAACGGAGGAGGAACACTGATGAAGAATATGAGCAAGGAACATGAAGCTAAACGCACACTACGAAGGCCATGTTACCAGACTGTTAAGTGAGTGGTGTGTTCAATCATCTGCTCAACAGCGAGCAGCAGTGAATAACGCAGCCAATATGCAAGTAACTCTGCTAAATTAAACGAGCCCGGCGCGACCCCAAGTGGGGGAGCACTCCCCATTGCATGGTCACAATGCTCGGCTTTGCTTTGCATTGTCCGGCGCTGATTGGGACACCGGGGAACCCGAGGAACCTTAGGAAACCGGGAAACCCGAGGAACCCAGGGAGCCCGGCGAACCTGAGATTACGAATGGGGATGTAGATGTGAAAATCGTTCCCACAAGCGGACTAGCCCCAAAGCAAAAGTGGCAGCGGACAGGCTGGATGAGCAGGCGCTGCAGAAGGACCCACCGTTCGAGTCTGGCGCTCAATCGAGTCCGTCGTGCTCTATACAATGAAACAGAAGGCCGAGAAGTCGCGCCGAGGCTGGGCCCGCGCTTACGCAGGGCACAACCGTCGACAGGCGCGGGCCCAGGCCTGGCGGCGGTCGGAGCGCGAGTCGGCTTCGCGGAGCCGAGCAACCTCGCCGACGCCCCCCCCCCCCGCCGAGCCCTGGGCCAGCCCAGCCTCGACGCGCCCAGGAGCCACCGCGACGCCGCCGCGCTCGCGCAGCAGGGTCGGGTGGGCGGGACAACGCATTCCCTAATGCGGGGCGGCCAGGCGAATCCCGAATCGCGAAAGCCTGCGCCGCGGACGCGCCCGCGGGCGCGCAGGAGGGGGATTCGCCTCAGCCTCAGCCAGCACTAGCCGTCCCGCAGCATCGGATGAGCAAGAAGAATAGCATGACAAGGGCCGAACGCACCGCCGCGACTTCTCCCCGCGCCCAAGAGCTGCCCAGGGCGCCCATGAGAAGTCGCGTCGAGGCTGGGCCCGCGCTTACGCAGGGCACAACCGTCGACAGGCGCGGGCCCAGGCCTGGCGGTGGTGGGAGCGCGAGTCGGCGTCGCGGAGCCGAGCAACCTCGCCGACGTCTCCCGACGCATGCTCGGCGGAACGACGCCCGCGCGCACACCGTGCAGACTGCAGATGCTTGGTCTGCTTCCCTCGCGGCCTGGGCGACCCCTGCATTGCTTCCGCGGCGATCGGCGCGTCCTGCACGCCAAGCGCCGCCGCGGAGCCCCGACCCCGATGCCTGCAGGGCGGCGCCTCGTCGGAATCAGAGTGCGCGATTTCCGCCTCGGCCGCTAGCACCATGGCCTTCGTCTTTGCTGCCGTGTACCTGCGCTTCATAACGCGCCGTGCCATCGCGGCCCAGGCAGCGAGGCCGCGCCCGCCACCTACGCGGTGCCCGAGCGCGGCCACTGACTTCCAGCCGCCCTCGAAAAACAACGCCGCCTGCCCCCCGGCGCGGAATGCCTCGCGCGCGAGCGGCCCGGGCCGCGTGCAAGCTCGGGCAGACAGGATATGGGGCCCCGCCTGGTCGGCGCGGCCGCGCCGAAAGCAATGCGCCCCCCACTCCAGTGCGCGATGGAGCCCCAGGTGGGCAGCGGCGAGCTTGACGCAAGCCAGCCCGTCCACGTAGGTGACGCCAGGCAGGAGCTGTTCGCCGGGGCGAACCTGGCGCCTAATAATGCATAGGGCGCGCAGTCGTTTGTCCTGAAGCTGGCACACACATACCCTCCAGACCTTCGCGAAGCGGGCCCCTGGCGCGACCCCGTGGCGCGCGCGCGCGCGCGAGCGGCCCGCCGGGTCTGGCGCCACCTTGCCTTTGCGGCGGCGGAATGGCACCTGCACCTGGTGCTTCCCTTCGTCCTCGTGGCGCGAAATCACGCTATGTGCCGGCGCATTCAGCCCCACCACTTCGGAGCCGAAGCGCAAGCAAAACTGCCAGCAGATGACGAATGCGTCGGCCATGTCGCCGCGCTCAATCTGCCGACCGCAGGGCACGCCGGTCGGCGCGCGCGGCCCGCCGCCCGATGGGCGCGCGGCCGTGCCTCGCGCAACCAATCTGCCATCGCGCGGACGTTGTCCGCTGTGGCGCGCGCACGAAACCTTTGCGCGCCAGGCGGTTCCGCCTTCCGACGGACTCACGGAGCTTCTGGGCGGCGCGCGCGGTGGCCACACCTTCCGGGCGCCGAACACCAGGGTCCGCGGATCCGCCAGGGCCCCCGTGTCTGCGCGGAGCAAATTCAGCACAAATCGTATGCCTTGCAAATAATGTGACAGAGTACCCGGGCGGCGGCAGAGCGCCACCATCACGTCCCTTGTGATTGCGCGCGGCGGCCAGGGTGAGGCCCTGGCCGATTCGCACGCTTGGCCGTATAATTCAATCGCTGAGGCATACGGATACGCCGAGAGCTTCCACGCGTGGAACTCTCTCCACAGCGCGGCCATCTGGATGCGGCGCATGCGCTCCAGCGCTGTTCCTGACAGCCGCAACTCTTCGGCACGCCGACGAGGTGTGCCTGGCAACCATCGCGCGCGGATGACAAATCTTGCGCGCACCCCGTGCATATTCCCGCTTTCGCATTCGAGTATTACGGGCGGCGTTTGGAGCTTCGTCAACTGGCGGGTCGCCTCTGCCAGTAGCGACGGCACTGGCACCTCTGCGCCGAACGCGGCGCACGGGGCCCGCGGCGCCGTGACGCGGTGCCTGCTGTGCCTGCCGCGCCGCCGACAGTAACGCAAGAGCATATTGAGGGGTCAATGCCGCGCCAGGCCGGCGCGTCGCCCGCAAGCCCGGAGCCGGTGCCGGGCGCTTGGCGGCCTCCTCGATTATTACTTCCGCCGCCTTTACAACCGCGGGCCCCGCGCGGCGGCCGGGCGCTCCCCTACCTCGGTGGGTAAGGTGGCGCTGCGCGCGCAACCTGGGATAACGCTTCCGCCGCGTTCTCCCGCGGTCGCTTAAGCTTTATCATGGACCATTCCCCGTGCACGCGCGACAAGTGCCCAGGTAAAGCATACCGAACACTCACGGAGGCATGGGAACATTTCCCTCGGCTCCCCCGCCGAGAACTCGGAAATGTCGGAGGGGGGCGTCGCGCCCTCGGCCGCGAGCTTGGATGCCAGACATTGCAAAGCAACTGCGCCTACCGGGTCCGCAACATTTGCGGGCGCCCATCGCGATGCGTACGACAGACACGCGAGCATCCCGCTTGCGGATCTTCGCTCACGGCGCGCCGCGGTCGCCACGTGCCCGCCGCGTCGGCACTCGTGCCCCTTTTCCCGTTTCACATGCCATCAGATGCCCTTGCTAGCGTGAGTCCCAGGGCGCCGCGCGGGGCCATGGCCACGCCACCCGGGCGATGCCCTCGCGGTGCATGGCCGCTATCTCGGCCGCTTTCTTAGCGGGTCGCGTGGGGGCGTCCGCCACGTTGAGCGCCGATGGCACGTACCATGCGCTCAGGAGGCACCGCGCGGTAGCCGCCGCGAACCAGATGTCGGCAAACAGCGCGTTATAATCTGGCTGGCGCGAGGTGCCGCGCAAGAGTGCACCGAGCGCGGCCTGCCGCATCCGACGGGCATTGCGCGCGCGGCCCGACGGTCCGCGCTTGGCCACGCCTTCGAATCCACAAACATCCATATCTCGGCGTCGCGCAACTCCGAGAGCAAATGATGCAAGGCGCATACTGCCGCGACGAGCTCCCAAGTCGCGACCTGCGCACGGGGGGCCGCGTGCCGCGTTGCGCGCGGTCGGTGGGGCGTTCCCGCCTGCGTCCTGCGGTGCCGCGCCCACCGCTTGATCGGACCGGGCACATCGGCCGCCGCATACTGCTTACGATCGGGTCCGATGATGACCCACGCGAGCCTGCGGTGGCGGCGCAGTCCGGGCGGGGCCGGCGCCGTGGGCTCGCGCATACGTCGCCTGCCACCACCCGTCGCGTCGGAATACACAAGGTAGCGGGGACGGCATGGGCCCACTCGCAGGGGCACCGCCCGTTCTGGCGCGCTTCGGAGGAAGCGCAGCCACCACTCCAGTGCTCTTCGGAGCCGAGAATTCAGCGCCCACCCCCGCGGTTGCGCATGCCAGAACAGCGGTGCCAGGTATACTCGGGCGCCTGCCGTCGCCCCCGCTCGCGCACGCTGCCTGCGCGCGCGACTCATCGCGCGCCTCTGCCGAACACCGCGCTGGACCCCCATCCCAATCTGCCGGCGAGTTTGGAGGCGGCCGCCGGCGACATTCGCCTTGCCGCCAGCACCCCCTCGATCCCCTGGCTCCACTTATCACGCTTGTCAGTACCGATCGCGAACACGAGCGATAGCTCCTCGCCCGAACCGCGCACTTCCGCGTCGACGCCGAGCACATTTGCCCTCGGCTCGGCAACGACGCGATTGCCGGCATCGAGGCGCCAGCCTAACAGATCTTCGACGACCGCTCTCAACACCTCGGCGGCGTCGCGGGGGCCGCCCGCGCCAGGCCCTCTGTCGGCGTCGGCCCGGAACAGGTCGTCCACAAACCGCCCCGACGCAAGCCAGAATAACTTGGCAAGGATCGCCTGCCGCGCGGGGGGGGCGTGCGCTGTGACGCCGCGGCGGTCGCGCCCCGTGCCTGGAGCGCCGCGCCAACGCGGCCCCAGGCGCACCCGCTCCCCACGGCGCTGAACGGGCAGCTCAGGAGCTGCAAGCAGTAGCCTTCGCTGGCCCCCTTGGCCCAAGCCGTGAGGGCCAGCGGGAGGTCGGCGCCTCGCACAGGCAGCGTCTTCTAAGCCCCGACGAAATCTTCCTTGCTCAACGCCGGCGTGCCGGCCGCGGCCGCGATCCGCGCCAGCTCTACCAGAGCGTCGAGAGAATCGGCCCTGCGCGCGGCCGCGGCAACACAAGGGGAGGGGTGAGGGCGGGC